TCCCACATCTGCTTGACGTTCCCCTCCAGGCCTCCATTGGCCTTCTGCACTACTTCGTCCCACATACACTTTTTCTTCTTTGTCTCGAGTCCCTTCACCTGTTTTCTCTTGGCCCTGTACTTTTCCCAACTCTCCTCAGACGCCTCACTCAGGTACTGCTTGAAGACTTTTCTACGTTCCCCTATTTCTTCTTTCAGCTCGTCATCCCACCACTTAACCGATACCCCACATCGTACCACCTTCCTTCCCACTACTCTCTCTGCCGTTGCGTTCACGATGGACTCCCACCCTTCAATCACCCTGTCCCCTGCTGCCTGTACGTCTACCTGTCCGTCTTCGACGCTTCTCAGCAGTTTCCTGAAGGATTCTACACTACCAGCCAGCCCCTTCTGGAATTCATCCCGTGTCCCATCGTCTCCCAAACGCTCTACCTTCCACCGGAACACTTTCCTCTGTTTCTTACTCTCCATCGTTCTAGATCGGTCGATGTTTGTCCATATGAAGAAGTGGTCGGTCGAACCTATATTTATCGCACTTACGTGCAGCTCTATGATCTGCGTGCTCCCCCTATCTACCAGGATGTAGTCGAGGATTGAGTATTCATTGCAAACTGCCCGTTGCCTTGTGAACTCCGGCTTATCGCATTCCCTCCTACCGTTCAACACCATCAGTTCGTTGCTTCCCAAGAATTCAAGCATCCTCACTCCGTTGTCATTCACTTTGTCTTCTCCGTGCTGCCCGATCGCCTGTCCTCTACTGGAAGCTTTCCCTACTCTGGAGTTGAAATCGCCCACCATGACAACTTCTCCCTTCCTACTGAACCTCTGGACATCTTCCCCAATTTGTCCAAAGTTCTCCTGCGCCTTGCTTGCGACTTTCTTCGACGACGGTGGGACGTATACGTTCCCTAGAAACAAATCTTTCTCACCCCGCTCCCCAGGTATCTTAAGCCATAGGCTTTCCTCGAACTCCGTTTTCACCACTATTTCCACCACGTCAACAAGTGTTCCTTGACCAGGAATCCGACTCCCCCATCCCCCATTTTCTTCAGGTCTAAGCCCTTTCTTGCCTTCCCTACCCACCGGTATTCCCCTAGTTTGCTTACCACG